AAAAAAAAAAAAAAAAAAAAAAAAAAAAAAACCAAAAAACCCCCCATAAAATTTCTACCACAAAAACCCGCCAAGTGGCTGGGGGGGGGGACAAACCCATCACCCCACCAGCCATCTCCACAGGTGCAGGCCCCCCTCGGCCCCCAGGCCTTCTGGCAGAGCCAGGATTTAATCCCTTTCCTGAAGGCCACGCAGCCACGTGCAGAGTAAAGAAGCATAAAAGTCACCACGGCCTTGGTTTCTCTGTGCCAACTGCCATCTTTGTAAACCAAAATACACCTCCAGTTCAAAAAAGGCCCAGGCACACCGTTTGACTAAGCCTGGCGCAGGGTTCACTGGATTCCTCTTTCTCCACAGAAGGGAAGCTAATTGAACTTGGGTAGACGGTTGAGATGCAGAAGACACAGCAGAAAAGAGGGAAAGGAAAAGAGATGCTGACGGCCCTCGGGGAGAAGGAAATGACCACTTTCATCAGCAGAGTCCGCTGCACCTCAAGACGGAAACAACTGATACCCTATCTTATGTACTCACACAACACTATTGTTGAATAACCTTTTAACTCTTTGTAATGCTCTGAATAAATGAGAGATGGAATATGGTCTTTCCTCCCCTTAAGACTTCAGGCTGGCAAAAGAGCCAGTAGAAAGGAGATATACGTACGAATTCTAGTATGTAAGTCAGTGTGGAGGCAGTAAGGTTTCAAACCATGTTTATCTCCAATTAAACAATGGTGCTGTACCTGATGAAATCAACTCAGTTTGCCCTTCCACCCAGGAACAGCCTAGAGCTGCCATTCTCCTCCAATCCCCTGCAGGTCTGGTCTCCCAAGGGGCCTTTAAACGCCCTCCACGCCAAGCCTGCTGGCAGGAACCCCTGAGCCTGGGCTGGGCTGGGCAGAAAGAGAACAGGGAGGAGGCCTAAGGGCAGAATGAGGAAGAAAGGCCCTAAACGTCCTTCACGTGACTTGGGAGATTCTCTGAAATTTAACTACAAGGGGAACTAAAAATCTTATTATACTTATACAGTATTCAGACTGTTCTTTAAAACCCCATTTTTGGTCTAAGCTAGGCTCCTCAATCAGGGGGGCTGCAGCCACCACAAGGATTTCCAGTGACACTCCTAAAGTTTCCCTTTGCACAAACTCTTACAGCTAGATCTGTACATAAAGCATTTCCCAGAGGAGGTCTGATTTTGTTTAATCCTGTATTTATGATGGCAGGACAACACAAGTGACCGCGGAGATCTGGACCTTCAAGCGCTAATGTGAGCCGACAAGCTCAGTTCATCTGAAATGGTTGTCTCTGAAGTCTCCTACCACGTAACACAGAGCAAGGACAGTGGTCCCCAGCACTTATTTTTAACATCTTTTTATTCTCTTGGTTTTATTTTGCTTTATATATTTTTAATGTATTGATTATTTTTAGCTTTGTTGTACGTTGCCCAGAGTCGCCTGTGGTGAGATGGGCAGCTATCAGCTATATAAACTGGTATGATGATGATGATGATGATAGCGGCTGAAAGGGGACAGCTGGACTGGTCAGTGGAGATGAGCAGCAGTGATTCCCCTGGACACCAGATGAAGCATCTGAAATGGCAAACCCTAGCCTGCCCTAAAAATCTTTTGCCAGTAAGAACAAGAAATGAAATGATGCAAGTGGCAAGGACAAATTTGCAAAGGCAGATTTTGATTATGCGCCATCAAATTGTTGTCAGCTCTTACCGACTACATAGATTTTCCCCATAACAACCTGTCCTCAACTTGGTCCTTCAGATCTTCCAATGGTGCTGTAACTGAGTCCATCCACCTTGCTGTGTTCATCCTCTTCTTCTCCTTCCTTTCTTCCACCTTTCCCAGCATCAGAGCCTTCCCCAGAGAGCTAGGTCTTCCCATAATGTGTCCGAAGTAGGATAACTTAAGCCTAGTCATTTCTGCCTCGAGGGAGAACTCTGGGTTGGATCAATTTGTTGGTCTTCTTGGCTGTCCGTGGTATTCTCAGGAGTCTTCTCCAACACCCAAGTTCAAAAGTGACAATACTCTTCCTATCCTGCTTC